AAAAAAAAAAAAAAAAAAGTCTCAAAGTCTGTGGGAAGGCAGGATTAAGTTCTTGCTCCCTGCTAACGTTTCTCAGTCCAGCCCCTGGAACTGCATCCAGTGTTCCACTCCCCACGATCACGTACGAATCAGGTTACCTAGGAACTTAAAATCTTACCAGCTGGGTACGCAAATATCAGCACCATAAAAGTTTGCTCAGAGCCCTTGCACGTCGTTGCACAAGTCTAAATTCGCAAAGTCCTTTCATGGTGACCCTCGTAACACGCTACATCCTGTAAAACTCAGCCCTGAGACTGAGCAACATAGAGCATTCAGGTGGCATATGCAACTCTAACGAGTCACTGTCTCCTAAACTGGGCTCTTTCTCGGCCCTGAGGCCATTCCTGTGCAGTGGGAACCCCTCAGGCCCAGCCCCGCTTGTTCAAGTCGATACAAACTAGCAAACTCCTTCTCCGTTACTGCTTCCCCGCCAAAATGAGGACCAATCAGATGGAGTTGCGTCACCAGTGCAGGACGGGCAATCACAGTTGGGGTTTTTGGCACGGGGCCCGCCCTAAAGTTGTTGGAGCCAATGGCAGTCGCGTAGACGATGAGCCAATCAGGATGCGGCGTACTGCGTGGCAGCGGGCGGTTGCGCACACGGTGCAGTGCGTGCACGAGAAGGGCGCGAGAAGCAGCGAGCGAGAAGAAGGGCACGAGAGGAAGTGAGAGCGGTGTTTACCGGGCACGAATCATCATGGTGAGCCATGCACGGGGGCCCTGGGATGGTTGGGAGGGACAGCGGGATGTGGGGACTCTCCCGTGGGTCCGGGGCAGTGAGGCGGCAGTGGGTCTTGAAGTAAGGAGAGGAAGAAGGTACATGCTGGAAAATTTGCTTCCGTTAGGCGCATTTCAGCATTCTGTTGTTGCTCTCATTTTATACTTTTACTTTTTGTTGTTCTTTTTGAGACGTCTTGCTGTGCAGTTCAGGCTGGCCTTGAGCTCACTTTGTAGCCCAGGCTGGTCTCGAACTCTTAGCTATCCTACTGCTCAGGCCGCCCCCCACTCCCCGAGTGCTGGGATTACAGGCGTGCGCCACCACGCCCAGCTTACTTTTTTTTTTTTTTTTTTTTAACGAATCAAACTGCAGTAGGTATGTTCATTCTCCTTTCCCTTTTTGCATGAAAGATAGCTTACATACACTCTTGCATCTTGCTTTTTCATTGTAGAAAAAGTCATGCCAGCCTGGTGTGGTTGTGCACGCCTGTAATCCCAGCACTCAGGAGGCTGAGGCAGGAGTATCATTGCAAGTTTTAGGCCAGCCTGGGCTACAAAGTGAGCTCAAGCCCAGCCTGAACTGCATAGCAAGACCCTGTCTCAAAAAAGACAAAAAACAAAACAAAGCGAAAAGGTCATGCTGGACTTTCTGGTCCACCTGCCCATGGGGCTCGTGCTGGAAGATCGCTTGGGCCCGGTGTTAAGGGCCAGCTGAAAACAGCCAGACCCTCTTTCTTGAGAGGAGGGGAGGTGAGGGAGGGCCGTAGAGGAAGGGAGAGGGAAGCAGGGAGGGAGGGAAGAGAAAGAAAGAGGCCCCTGATGTGTTGGGGCATGCCTGTAGGCCCACGGCTCAGGAGGCTGAGGCAGGAGGACTGCCGTGAGTTTGAGGCCAGCCTGCACTACAAAGCCAGACCGACCCTGTTTCAAAAAAAAAAAGTCTGGTGGCCTTCTTATGCATACAAAAATGCATTGTTTGCAGCTACGGGTGCCTTCACCTTACGCTAGGTTATTCACCCTGTCCTATTTCACCAAATACATTGGTGATTTCTGGTCCTTTACCTGGAGACCTACAGCTGGTAACTTGTGAGCAGTTGAAGCTGTATGTGGGGTTCTAGAAATGAATGCGGTGATTTCGTAGATATTTTCAGATTCCTTTCCATAGCAATAAATGAGAATTCCTGTTCTCCCCCTGAAGGGTAGGCTTCTGCCTTTTTTCCTTTTATTCCTTTTTTTATATCCTCAGCTCATAGATACTGGCTAGGTAATTATTGAATCAACATATTAATAGTCTGCACATTAATGGGACCAATCCAGCACCCCTATCATTTTGTACACCTGATAAAAGTTGCATAAAGACAGTCTTATGTGAAGAGAGGCCAGAAACACTATTTTACAGGAATTTACATGGTCCTCTGTCCATCCATACATCTTTCTCCCCTCCCCTCTCCTCCCCTCCCCTCTCCTTCCTTCCCTTCCATTCCCCTCCCTTCCTCTCCCTTCCCCTCCCTTCCCCTCCCTTCCCTTCCCTTCCCGTCTCTTCCTCTTTCTCTTCTCTCTCTTTCTCTTCCTTCCTGTCTTCCTGCCTTCCTAGGAGGATTGAACCCAGGCCTTCCTACTGATCTACATCACCAGCCCATACAGTCTCTCTTAAATTGAGTGTACTGGGTTTGAAGTTTGGATCTTCCTGCCCAGCTTCCCAGAGTACTAGGATTACAGGCATGTAATACGTGCCCAGCTTCCAATTCACTTGTGCCCAGTTAGCTGAGTGAACAGCCAGTCATTTCAATCTCAGTTTCCTCTTCAAACTAAAGCTTATAAAGCCAGTGGTTTCCAAACTTTACAAAAAGTGTACGATTCCCCAGAGCATAAATGAAGAGCAAAGTAAAATATACATGTACTAGGAAGCAGGGAGCTAAATTTGTGGACATGGGTAGAGGATCTTGAATTGAAAGAGATGGGAGGGAGGGGAAGTGCAAAGGATCAATATGTGATACGCATATGTCCAGTTCTCCAGGATAAATATATTCATTATGTATCACAAACATACGCTAATAAGTTTTTTAAAAGGAGGGGACATAACAGTGGTAGAGCACTTGCCTGGCATAGGTTTGATTCTGAGCCCTGCAATAAACAATAAATAAAAGGGAAAAAAGGGCATGACTCTGTAACAACTCAGATTAGCCTTGGAGTCCGCTCTCTATAAAATTTTGTTTTGAGATTTACTGGTGTAGCAGAGACTTAAGCTCCTCAAAAAGACTTTTTTTTGTTCTGATCAAACCTAGGGCCTTGGGGTTGGGGATTTAGCTCAGCAGCACAGCGCCTGCCTGACAAGTACGAGGTCGTGAGTTTGATTCCCGGTACCAGAAAAACAACAACAAAAAAAAAACAACCTCGGGCCTTGTGCATACCAGCAAAGTGCTATACCATTGCTATAAACCCGTTGCCTCTTTTTTTTCTTTTTGATGGTACTAGGGAGTGAACCCAGGAGCTTTGCACTGAGCTACATCCCCAGCCCTCTTTATGCTCACCTTCCAGAGCAACATTTATAACTGGCATGTGCCACCACAGCTGTCCTAACTGTTGAGCCATGAGGCTGAGGTAGGAGACAGGGAGATCCTGTCTCAAAATTTAAAAACCTAATAGTAAGTGCTGGGAATGTACCTTAGTGATAGAGTAATTGCCTATGATATGCAAGAACCTGGGTTCGTTCCCTAGCACAGCAAAAAGAAGAAACTAAACCAGATGAGACATAAATTTTGCATTCTATTTATATTGAAGTATGCAGTGGGATGCATGGTGGCACAAGCCTATAATCGCAGCACTCTGTAATCCCAGGACTCGGGAGGCTGACACAGGACAACTGCTGCGAGTTCGAGGCCAGCCTGGACTACATAGTAAATTCCAAGCCAGCTTGAACTACATAATGAGACCCTGTCTAAAAAAACAAAATGAAACAAAATTTTAAAAACATTCAGGTATACCACTCAATGACATTAAGTTACCACAAACCATCACCATTATTTCCAAAAATTTGTCATCAATCTCAAGTCTTCTTCAATGTGTAATACACTACTAATGCCAATTGTATTTTTCATTTCAGACAATGATCCTTTAATGAGTAGTAGTTTTCATTTTTCAAATATTTTGCCACTGGGACACATCCAAAGCCCTGGTGTTTTTTAGTATTAAACATGTCATTCTTATTTTTTCCTCTAATTTCCTGAATCTGTGAGTATATAATTTTAACTTCATAATTCAGTAGTAGTTTCATCTGTTTCCTTTTTGGGTTGGTTTGTTTTGTTTTGTTTTGTACCGGGAATCGAACTCACGACCTCACGCTTGCCAGGCAGGCGCTTGTGCCACTGAGCTATATCACCGGCCCTCTTTCTGGGTTTTTATTGGTGGTCTTATTTCTTCAATATAAGCGGGGCATGGTGGCACACACCTATAATCCCAGCACTTGGGAGGCTGAGGTGGGAGAATCATTGTAAGTTAGAGGCCAGCTGTGGCTACAAAGTGAGATCCTATCTCAAAAAAAAAAAAATTTCTTCATTATGGTCATATTTTTTTCCTTCTTCTCTTTTTACTACATGAGAGGTTCAGATTGAATACCAGGTATTATGAATTTTACATTGCTGGGTTCTACGTTTGGCAGCATTTCTTTAAATATTTTCGGGCATTTCTTGGGATCCGGTTAACTTGCCAGGCACCAGTTTGACCCTTGGAGGCTTGCTTTTCTGCTTTCTTAGGTGGGCTCAGAGCAGCCTTTACTTTAGGGCTCATTTAGCACCACTACTGAGGATTCCATTCAGTGCTCTGAGAGTCAGGAGGTCTTCCCACCACCACTGGGGAAACACAAGCGGTTCCCAGCCCTAGGTGAGCCCCAGGATGGCCCAGCCTGCCCTGCCTGGTCTCAGCAGCACTCCCGCAGCACATGTGCTGAGCAGGACTCAGCTGTAGACAAGGTGCGCTGTGCTGATTGGCACAGAGCTCTGTGGATACCTCTGTCACATGTGTTCCAGCTTGCGGTTTCTAGCTGCATCGGCCTCCCTGAACACCAGTCTCTTCTCAATTCAGGAAGATCCCTGGGCTGTGTTTGCCTTTCTTTTCTCTCTCTCTAAGGTAGCCTGGAAACTCACGAGGTGTCTGGGGTGATCCTAGGTTTACAAGCTTTGTTTCCCAGCTCTGAGGAATCACTGTCTTTACATCCTGTCACATGATCATTGAAAACTGTTATTTCATGTTTTGTCTGATTTTCTAGGCCATTGCTTATGCCAGAATATTAAATGTGTTTCTTGGGTAGAAACAGATTTGCTTGATTTACATTTTTCTGTACTCGTAATTGAACCCAGAGGCTTCATATAGAGCCATTTTCTTTTTTCTTTTGGGGCTGGGTCTCACAAAGTTGCCTAGTCTGGACTCAAAATTTCAGTGCTCCTACCTCAGCCTCACAGAGTGCTAGGAGTATAGACAGAGCTAATTTTTTTTTCTTTTTGAGACAAAGTCTTGCTGTGCAGTTCAGGTTGTGCTTGAACTCACTTTGTAGCCCAGGCTGGTCTTGAACTCTCAACAATCCTCTTGTTTCCGCCTCCCAACTGCTGGGATTACAGGCTTGCAACACCATGCCTGTCTTTGTCTGTGTGTGTATGTGTACTGGAAATCGAACTCAGGACCTTGTGCTTGCCAGGCAGGTGCTGTGCTGCTGAGCTACATCCTCAGCCCAGGTAGAACTACTTTTTAAATATCTTAATTGCTGGGAAAATTAACAACCATTTCTGTTCATAGGTCAAGGATGTCGGTATTCATGGTGGCTAGGCAGGTATTCTGATATAAAATGACCATTGGAGACTCATGAGGTGTTATGTGTGAGAAAACCTTTAGAAACTGAATATTTTACAAATGTTGATATATGACATGAGGTCTCATTTGCATTTTGGGGAGGGGTAGGTACCAGGCAAGGAACTCAGGACCTTGTGCTTGCCAGGCAGGCCCAATGAGCTCTCTCCCCAGCCCTCTCATTTGCATTTTGTATAGTTTGAATTGCCTTGAGGACAAATGGATTTGACACTTCTGTTGTGATTCCCAGAGGGAGTGTATCTCTATCCACGTGGGACAGGCAGGTGTCCAGATCGGCAATGCCTGCTGGGAATTGTACTGCCTTGAACATGGAATCCAGCCCGATGGTCAGATGCCTAGTGACAAAACCATCGGCGGCGGGGATGACTCGTTCAACACGTTCTTCAGCGAGACTGGGGCTGGCAAGCACGTGCCCAGAGCGGTGTTTGTGGACCTGGAGCCCACGGTGGTAGGTAGGTGCTCAGCCCCGGATGGAGGCTTCCCGGGAGGTTGGGAGAGCCCTG